CTAAACACCAAGGCACACGGAACGCTGTTACCTTCCCACCGAAGTGGTACCTATTTATCTACTTGCAATTTCTTGCTTTCAAACGGCTAGGTTGGCAGGAGCTGGAACTAGAGACGGGAGCTCACTCCGTCATGCGGCAACCTGGGTCTCGAACTGCTGAACTGCCGACCTTCCACAGCCTGCAGTTCAGCGTCTTAACCCCTTGAGCCACCGCAACTCCTCTTCCCAAGAAACGGGGCCTTCAATTTGGTCACTCCCACGCCGAGAGGGCAGTGCTGATTCCCCGGCCAAGCCCCCGTGGCAATTAGGGTTGCCATCTCTGGGTTGGGAAATACCTGGAGATTTGAGGGGAGGAGCCTGTGGAGGGCGGGGTTTGGGGAGGGGAGGGACCTCAGCAAGGTACAGTGCCATAGAGTCCTCCCTCGAAGGCCCACCCTTTTCTCCAGGGGAGCTGATCTTGGTCATCTGGAGAGCAATTGTAATAGCAGGAGATCTCCAGGTGACCCCTGGAGGCTGGCAACCCTATGCTGCAGGGGCTAAAACTGCATCCGGGGGATGGTTGCCAGCTCTGGGTTGGGAAATTCCTGGAGATCTGGGGAGGGTGGGGTTTGGGGAGGGGAGGGAGGTCAGTGGGGTCTAATGCCATAGAGTCCACCTTCCAGAGTGGTCATTTTCTCCCTGATCTGTGTCACATGAAGAACGTTGGTAATCCCAGATGATCTCTAGCCTCTACGTGGAGGTTAATTACAGCAAACCAGACCACGGTGCATGTAAGCTACGTAAAACACTAAATCACCATGTATAATTTTACCATTCTAATCTTTTTTATATATGCTAAGTATAAATGTTTAAGAGTCTTTTAAAAGGAATCAACAAGAGTACGGCTTAAGCGTTCACCACGAAGCTCAACAGTCCATTCAGAATTATGTAACTCCTAGGGTGATATTTACATCAAGGGTGATTTCCCACAGCCCCTCCTCGCTCACTCTTCTCTTTGGCCTAATGGCACGTGTCAATTTCACACAAGCTGCTGTGCAGCCGCATTTTGCCCTTCAGCTTCCTGCGATTTTCCCCACGTCTACTCAATCCTTTGAAATTGACACGTACCATGGGGCAAAAGTGAGTGAGCGCGGAGCAGCGCTTGTGGGAAATCACTATTTATCTTAGACCCAAGGTCCGAATGTAATACGCTTGTTCCAAAGAGAAAAACAGAGAGAAACGACTTCAGACAAACAACGTTCTAGTGATCATTCCGTTCACGTACTCTTCATCCGGTTTGTCTGTTGTTGTAGATATATCACAGTCTTGAAGTACTGAAGGCAATGTTTCAGAATTCTTAGAATGATGTCATACACTCTATTGGTGACATGCTATTGCTTTTAATGTCTGGTGACTGGGGATTGCCGATATTAAGTTATGATGTGACCTCGGTCTACAATGCATTTCGGATGGCAAAACTTCCCTTTGTTTTTCTCTTCATAACAAGTGTGTTACATTAGGACCTTGAGTCGAAGATAAGACTTGATTTCTGGCTGTAAATATTACCATAGGAGTTAGGTAAAGGTAAAGGTTCCCTTACTCGAAACCCAGTCGAATCTGACTCTAGGGTTGCATTGCTCATCTCCGTTTCCAAGCCGAAGAGCCAGCGCTGTCCAAAGATGTTTCCGTGGTCATGTGGCCGGCATGACTAAACACCAAGGCGCACGGAACGCTGTTACCTTCCCACCAAAGTGGTACCTATTTATCTACTTGCTTATTTCTTGCTTTCGAACGGCTAGGTTGGCAGGAGCTGGAACTAGAGACGGGAGCTCACTCCATCATGCGGCACACTCGGGTCTCGAACTGCTGAACTACCGACCTTCCACAGCCTGCAGTTCAGCGTCTTAACCACTTGAGCCACCACAGCTCCAGACCATAGGAGTTACATCATTCTAAATGTACTGTTGAATCATAGAATCATAGAATGTTAGAGTTGGAAGGGACCTTGCAGGTCATCCCTGGTAATTTCCACCCCTTAGATCTAGTCTTGCCATCCGGAGCAAGAAAGAATAGATCTGCTCCATCTTCGACATGACAGCCTTTCAAATACTTGAAGACTGCAATCCTGTCCCCTCTAAGCCTTCTCTTTCCCAGGCTAAACAGACCCAACTCTTTCAGCCTTTCCTCATGAGACTTGGATTCCAGCCCTCTCACCATCCTGGTTGCCCTCTTCTGGACACGCTCAAGCTTGTCAACATCCTTCCTATAATTATACACCGTGATTTAGTGTTTTATTTAATTACCTGGAGTTTGGCAACCCTAGGATGGGCTCAGGTATGGGTGGACATCAAAATGCCTTGAACTGGCCCTGCCAGTGAGGCGAACGGCTCTGAGCCAAAAGGATGAGGAGCCACTGACCTGGAAAGCAAGTCACAGAAGAATATAAATGTTGCTTCCTGCAGGCAGCAAGAGCCTGTGGGGAGTACAGTTGCCAACTTCCAGGCCAACGCTCCCTCTAAGCAGCAGAGTCTTGTGAGCAAAAATCCCACTTGGTGAGCGACTGGCCTTAAAGTTGTGAGCGAGCGATTTGGCTACTGCATGAATTAGTTTGCTCTGGAGCCCTCCTCCCTGAGCTGAGACAAAAATGTGTGAGCGTGGGGCTAAAAAACTGTGACTTCGCTCACACTAACTCATCTTAGAGGGAACACTGCTCCAGGTGGGGACAGGAGATCTCCCGGAAGAACAGTTGATCTCTAGATGACAGGGATACGTTCCCCTGGAGAAATTGGCTCCTTTGGTGGGTGGACTGTATGACATTATACCCCATTCAAATGCACGGCCAGAGTCAAGTAGAATTAAATCATTTTTATTAAGCTCAACATGCATTCAGAAGAGTTCTTATTCACAATCAAAGCTGAATAACTGGTGAAATTCACATATTTTGTAATCTAATTCAGTTCACTGGCTCATGGTGAAAAGGATTGCGCGTTCCCACCTCCTTGCCGTTTAAAGAGAACAAAGGCCACGGGAAGAGAGGAAGAGAGCTGTAAAACTCGAATCCTCGCGTGTCTGTGTGCCGGATGCTGTGGGATGTCTAACTAAAGACTTCAATTCCCAGGGAGCACTGCTCTTAAAGATATATGGCAGTTCTACTTAACTACAGTTTAAAACGCTGGCTGGGGCAGCACACCCCGCTTAGGTCCCCAAACCTCCCCAAACCCTGTTTTCTCCAGGAGTTCTCCAGTCTGGAGTTGGCAACACTAGGGAGATTGATGGGGAGGCAGGCCAACGTAATGCAATTACCAGTGATGCTCGGGAAGAGACACAATGTCGTTCATGTGCATACTTTTGTCCAGGGTGTTTCCGAAGCGATCGGCCTGGCTGCCTTCTGCCATCTGCGAGAGATCCTCATCGCGCTGAGGGATTACGGGAACATGATGTACGCGAGGAGATCATTGCTCATGGAGAAGACACCGGAGGTACCGTTGCGGAACCATTTATTTGTTGATTTGTTTCGTGTACCAGAATTTATGCCCACCGTCCTGCCTTCAGAAGAGCTACCGAGCCACTGTTGGTGGGGATGCACTAAAATTAAACTGTTCTGGATAGAAATTATAGAGATCATAGGAAAAAATCACAAAGGTTAAAATACCTTGCACTCCTGAAACCCTCTTCTTAAACATCTGGCCAAAAGATCTATTAGACAGGCCCCATAAAGAAACCATTGAAGTTATGCTGGATGCAGCCAAAACCACAATAGCCAATTTTTGGAAAGTCCCTAACAAACCATCAATTGAGGTCTGGTATCGAAAACTGTGGAACCCACTACCTCATGGATGCAGTTACGGTTAAATTAGACATAACACATCAAAATACAAGACAAGAGCGGTTTGTTGGGAAGTGATACCCGATCTTAGAGTTCCTTTCTGAACAACAATATATATCCTCTGAGTGGTCCCAATTTGAAAAATGGATCTGATATATTATTTCCCTAAAAGTCAATGTATACTTTAAAAGGCTAAACACTTCCTTTATTTTGATTACTGCTTTACTTATTGTACGTTTGTATTTAAATGTTACAAAGCATTTCATGTTCAAATTCTGTAACATGTTTAACGCAGATTGATTGTAGGTTACTCGAATAACTGGGTAACTATAGTTCACAGCGATGACACAGTTTTTGCAGTCACTAAATCTATTGTATAATGTTGCGCTTATTGTGAAACAAATATTAATCCAAATAAGAAAAAACTTTAAATCAAAAAAAGAAAAGAAAAAAAAAGAAGAGCTACCGAGGTGGCTAAACAAGTCCAAACATTAGGTATCAAAACCACAGTTTGAAAGCCATTAAAACATTTACAACCAGAGCGAAGATAAATAAGAAAAATGTAAAAACGACAATCAAAATGCTGGGCAGGAAAGAGGGGTCGTGGGGGGAACAACAGATGAAAGGGGAGTCTTTGCCTGCTGGCAGAAGAGCCGGTTTGGTGCAGTGGTTAAGTGCGCGGACTCTAATCTGGGAGAACCGGGTTTGATTCCCCACTCCTCCACTCGCAGCTGCTGGATGACCCTGGGCAAGCCATAGTTCTGATAAGAGCTGTTCTTGAAAAAAATAGCAGTTTCTGTCAGAGCTCTCTCAGCCCCGCCTGCCTCACGGGGTGTCTGTTGTGGGGAGGGGAAGGGAAAGGAGTTTGTAAGCCGCTCTGAGACTCCTAGTGAAGGGCGTGGTATAAATCCAGTCTCCTCCTCCTCCTTTACCTTTTAAACTATCCCTGACCTGGATAACCCAGACTAGTCCGATCTCGTCAGGTCTCGCCAAGAGAGTCCAGGGTCGCTACACAGAGGCAGGCAAGGGCAAATCATCCCTATACTTCTCTTGCCTTGAAAACATCAAGGGGTTGGCATAAATCGGCTGCGACTTGAGAACGCTCCCCACCAAGCACACGTCTGGCCCTCTTAATTTCTTTATTTAAAATATTCATAAGCTTGCCTTTCTCCTGGGCATCCCCAGGACCCAAGGATGTTAGAAGGCTCCGGCTTAATTCAAACTGCGTCACGCTCGATATATGGCTTAAAGGTTTCCCTTTTCGGCCCCTTCGCCTCCAGGATCTGAAGAACCAGGCTGCAATTCAGGTTCGCACCACCCTGATCCTCTGCTACGGGCATGCGGCCATCGGGGCGAAGCCAGAAGACATGCTGATGCAAGCTGAAATGATCGTCTCGGAGATTCTGTTACAGTTCCGGGGGGACCACAAGGTACTGAAGAACATAAGAACATAAGTAAGGGCCCTGATGGATCAGGCCAGTGGTCCATCTAGGGCAGCATCCTGCCTCACACGGTGGCCAACCAGTTCCGCTGGAAGGCCAACAACATGGCAGGGAGGCCGAGGCCTTCCCCTGAGAAGAACATCAGAAGGGCCCTGCTGGATCAGACCAGGGGTCCATCCAGTCCAGCATCCTGTCTCACACAGGGGCCAACCAGTTCCTCTGGAGGGCCAACAGCAGGGCAGAGAGGCCGAGGCCTTCCCCTGAGAAGAACATCAGAAGGGCCCTGCTGGATCAGACCAGGGGTCCATCCAGTCCAGCATCCTGTCTCACACAGGGGCCAACCAGTTCCTCTGGAGGGCCAACAGCAGGGCAGAGAGGCCGAGGCCTTCCCCTGAGAAGAACATCAGAAGGGCCCTGCTGGATCAGACCAGGGGTCCATCCAGTCCAGCATCCTGTCTCACACAGGGGCCAACCAGTTCCTCTGGAGGGCCAACAGCAGGGCAGAGAGTCTGAGGCCTTCATAAGAACATCAGACGAGCAGCATCCTGCCTCACTCTGGGTGCGTTCAGATGTGCCGTTTCAGCCGGCATAAACTGTACCGGTTGGAACCGGCTGAAACGCGATCACACTCACCTCCTGTCTGCGGATCCCATCGCTGTATGCCCGTCCACATACAGCGGGCATCGGCGTTTTTTGTTTGGGTTTTTTAAAAAAACTCAGTTTGCGCATGCGCATAGGCAGCCATCCACAGAATGGCGATCTTCGCGCATGCGCAAAAAACCCTGTCTTACATTTAAACTTGCATTCAGATGCGCCGTTTCAGCCGGCATAAACTGTACGCGATCACACTCACCTCCTGTCTGCGGATCCCATCGCTGTATGCTCGTCCATACACAGCGGGCGTCGGCGTTTTTTGTTTGGGTTTTTTTTAAACTCACTTTGAGCATGCGTATAGGCAGCCATCCACAGAATGGCGATCTTCGTGCATGCGCAAAAAACCCTGTCTTACAGGTAAGGACTTACCTTTAAAGTTTAAAGAGCAAAGTAGCCTCCCTGAGGTCCCGGACGCCTCCGAAACGCTAAACTAAGGCCCTTTTCTTTTCTTTTTAAACAAACGCCAGGGCGAAGCTTCGCCCAAGCGCATATCGCCGACCTTTTTTTAAAAAAATGGCCGGCGAAAATCGGAAGCCTCAGGCTTCCGAACAGAAGTGGCTCTGCAACGGTGGAGAGCAATCAGACGGGGGGGGGGGTTTAAGCGATTACAACCGTTGTACTCAGGATACCCCCACTTGGGGCCCTAGGGGCCGAGAAAAAAGCCAACCACAGGGCAGGGAGGCCGAGGCCTTCCCCTGATAAGGACATCGGAAGAGCCCTGCTGGATCAGACCAGTGAGGGTCCATCTGGTCCAGCATCTCCTGTCTCACACAGGGGCCAACCAGTTCCTCTGGAGGGCCAACCACAGGGCAGAGAGGCAGAGGCCTTCCCCTGATGTTGCCTCCTGGTTCTGGTATTCAGAGGTTGACTGCCTCTGAGTGTGGAGGTTCCCCTCAGTCCCCATGGCTATCAGTCACTGATAGACCTCTCCTCCATGAATCAATTTAATCCCCTTCTAAAACTGTCTGTTCCTGTGGCCGTCACTACATCCTCTGTTGGCAAATTCCACACTTTAGTCACTTTCTGTGTAAAGAAATAATGCCTTTCGTCCCTGCTGAATCTACTGCCCACCAGGTTCATTGTTTGCTCTCAGCTCTGGTGACAGACAGGGAGCTCCCTGGTCTCTTGCGTCAGGTCTGCACATGGGGAAGTCCCTTAATTCAGTCTCATTACGACTTAACCTAAGGTTGCCAACCTCCCGGTGGTGTCAAAGACGAGCGATCACGGGACAGGCTGAATGTAGTAAGGAAAAACAACCGTGATGTGATAACGAAATCTTGTTAGGAAAAATATATATCTTCTTTAATCATCCGGTGAGTGACAAATCATTGAAGGTGTTTCCTTGGAAGTCAATCGGTCTCCAGTTTTTCTGACCGTGCAGCGCTCAATAGAAGTACGTTAACAAGAAAGAGGGAGCAGGAAAAAAGTTGCAGGAAAAATATGCAAGGTGTCAGGTCTCCTCTGACGTAACCTTGAGTGAAACGGCCTATTGAGCGCCGCACCGTCAGAAAAACTGGAGACCAACGTACTTCCAGGGAAACAACTTTCAATGATTTGTCATTCACTGGATGGTTCAAGAAGATATAAATTTTTCCTAACAAGATTTTGTTATTTTATCACGGTTGCTTTTCCTTACCACGTTCAGCCTCCAGGTGGCGACTGGAACTCACCAGGGAGTACAACTCATCTCCAGCCCACAGAGATTAGTTGCCCTGGAGGAAATGGCTGCTTCTCCGTGGCATTATGGACCCTCCCCTCTCCAAACCCCGCCCTCCTCAGACTCCACCCCTCCAAATCTTCTGCAATTTCCCAATCTGGAGCCGACAATCCTCGTTTAACCTTTTCGAAGTATGCTGCGTTGCTAACAATTAAAATGGTAAAATAAGGGTCCACATGGCGGTTAAGTGTGCGGACTCTAATCTGGGAGAACCGGGTTTGATTCCCCACTCCTCCACTTGCACCTGGCTGGAAGACCTTGGGCAAGCCGTAGTTCTGATAAGAGTTTTTCTTGGAAAACAGCAGTTTCTTTTGAGAACTCTCTCAGGCCCCCACCTACCTCACAGGGTGTCTGTTGTGGGGAGGGGAAGGGAAAGGAGTTTGTCAGCCACTCTGCGACTCTGAGTGAAGGGTGGGATATAGATCCAGTCTCCTCTCCTCCTCCTCCTCCATTATTTCTCCACTCTCTGAATGCATGTGGAAAGGTGGCCCCATAAGTGTTTATGAATACATAGGATCATAGCATCATAGATTTAGATAGCAGGAAGGGGGCCGAAAGGCCACACACTCCACCCCCCTGCACTCTGCCAGATGACCTACAGAATCCCTGACAAATCATCTTGCCACGTCCACTTAAATTTCACTCCAAGGAGGGAGAGCCCACAACATCCCTCGACAACCAGTTCCGCCCCTGAGCAGCCCTTATCGTTAAAACGTTTATCCTAATATCCGGCCTATATTTCCATAATTGAAACCCGTTATTACGAGTCCCGTCCTCCGCTGCCATCTGACATGGCGCCCTACCCTCCTCTGAATCAGTGTTTCCCAGTCAGTGTTTCCCAAAAGTGGGTGGCGAAGCCTCTGAAAGTGGGTCTCGGGCAATGCTCCCTCTAAGCTGTGGGCTCTTGTGAGCAAAAATTCTACTTTGTGAGCTGCCGGCATTAAAGTTGCGAGCGAGCAATTTGGCTGCCGCGTAAATCAGTTTGCTCTGGAGCCCTCCTTCCTGAGCGAAGACGAAAAGGTTTGAGCTGGAGGCTAGAAAACTGTCAGCTAGCTCACACTCACTCAGCTTAGAGGGAACACTGGCCATGGGCCAGACCCTCCCTGAAGGCTGCCTTTCTATTGTTCTCTTTTGTATTTGGGAAACCAAGATCTCCCCCTGGAAATGGTGGGTGATTCTGCATTGGCTTTTCCCTCCGTTGTTTTACCAAACGCATGTTGGAACAGAAATTCCCTTCTGCATTGCATGCCGCTTTCGCTTCCTTTGATCATGGGTTTCATAGGACCTTCTGCATAGATCTATGGCCGTTCAGGGATGACTTTGCAGTCAGTACGGCGTTGGCCCAGGGTATTTGAACGTGGTTTTGAGCTGCGCCTTTTCCTCCATGGGCGATTCTGCCTCTGGCATTCGCTCCACATTTTCTCAACACTGAGGACAAGGTTCAAATGGGTACTCCATGAAATTGCTGAGCGGTCGGGTTAGAACGGATAAAAGGAAGGACTTCTTCACCCAAAGAGTGATTAATACTTGGAATTCACTGCCACAGGAGGTGGTGACTGCTACAAGCATGGATGGCTTCAAGAGGGAATTAGATAAGCATATGGAGCAGAGGTCCATCAGTGGCTCTTAGCCACAAGGTATAGATAGGAACTCTTGGGTTGG